GTGCTATTTCCACTATGGGCATCCCAAGTGTCTAACAAGTCATTCTATCGGCAATGAATTCAAGTGATTATTGCCAATATTTGTTCTGTCATTGCACAAATTTTTCCTTCGTCATTTATTATGTTGTGAGTTATCTGATTCTGTTACTATGACGCAGAAATTCTATTCATGAGTGAGAGGGAAGTTCTATCGACTAACTGAACTAAACACTCAAATATACACTTATTTTTCCACCAATGAGGTGCACTGTATTTATTTCCTAAGAAATAAAACCAAATCTTAGCCAATTACACGTGCGTATCATTTTCCCAATGTCAGAACAGACCATTGTATTATTATTGTTACTGCTCCTTCCAGCCATATAGAATGGTGAACCCTAGTAGGCCCTTCTGAAGAAGAGTGCTACATCGAAGCACGGCACAACTACTGGGGCGGGATAGCTGTTTCTGCATTGCTTACGCACAGCCATTACATAACACTCACAACCCATTCGAGGGGGGGGCAGACTCATTTTTTTACCACTCTTTTGAACCCTCAATAGTTATGCAATGACTCTTTGTAGCATTCATAATCGTTCTCGGGTATTGGTAGAATGGTTGATTAGACCGATCTCCGCCACCCTCATTACCGCTCACGTTAGTACATGGGATCGTTGCCATGATCTAGGAGGCACGACGAGGACCTGTGAGTCGGATTTTGCCTCCCATTATTGTTACTAATCTTTTTAACACTCATGATCTTGACCTGATGACTTTGTTTAGAAAGAAAATTTAAATTTCATGAATAAACTGTCTAATTTAAAGAATACTTCATAATAAAAATCACCTTACTAACTCATAAATCTTTTCTATATTTTTAAATAAAACCATGTTTATTCATAACTTAATTGAACATATGTATATCTGTGTGCTGGATACATACTGCTTTTAGATTATATATGTTCGTTCTACTCTTTTATTAAACATTAAGTGACATGAAGTTCATTTATTATGTATTATTGGTTGAAGTTAGATATTAACACTGTGGAATATCGGCTCAGTGGTCTATCGGTTAAGTGCTCCGACACGAGACTGTTAGGTCCTGGGTTCGAGTCTCGCAGGTGCGGGATCGTGGATGCGCACTACTGAGGAGTCCCATAATAAGACGAAACGGCCGTCCTGTACTTCAAGGTTTCCCATAGTGGTCTAGCTTCAATTGATTCATGATTTTAACTATGAAAATATTATGCATTACTTACTTAATTACTTACGCCTGTTACCCCTTGTGGAGGAGCATAGGCCGCTCACCAGCATTCTCCATCCAACTCTGTCCTGAGCCTTCCTTTCCAGTTCTTTCCAGTTGCTATTCATCCTTTTCATATCGGCTTCTATTTCCCGGCGTAGTGTGTTCTTTGACCTTCCTCTTTTCCGCTTCCCTTCCGGATTCCAAGTTAGGGATTGAGTCGTGATGCACATTGGTGATTTCCTCAATGTATGTCCGATCCACTTCCAACGTCTTTTCCTAATTTCCTCTTCATCTGGAACCTGCTGATTTGTCCTCTCCCATAAAACGCTGTTGCTGATAGTATCCGGCCAGTGGATGTTGAATATTTTGCGTAGACAATTGTTTATAAATACTTGTACCTTCCTGATGATGGTCGTAGTAGTTCTCCACGTTTCAGCTCCGTACAGTAGGACTGTCTTGACGTTCGTATTAAAGATTCTGACCTTGAAATTGGTTGAGAGTTGTTTTGAGTTCCATATGTTCTTCAATTGTAGAAATGCTGCCCTTGCTTTGCCAATCCTCGCCTTTACATCTGCATCCGATCCCCCTTGTTTATCAAAGATGCTCCCCAGGTACGTGAATGTTTCCACCTCTTCCAGAGTTTCGCCATCAAGTGTGATTGTGTTGGTGTTCTACGTGTTGCATTTGAGAATCTTGCTTTTTCCTTTGTGAATGTGGAGGCCTATCGATGCGGAGGCTGCTGCTACATTTGCTGTCTTCATCTGCATTTGGTCGTGTGTATGAGAGAGGAGGGCTAGGTCATCTGCGAAGTCCAAATCATCTAATTGATTCTGAGCTGTCCATTGTATTCCGTATTTCCCTTCAGATGTCGAATTCTTCATAATCCAGTCAATCACTAGAAGGAAGAGGAATGGGGAGAGTAGACAGCCTTGTCTGACTCCGGTCCTTACTAGAAATGCATCTGTCAGCTGTCCTCCATGCACCACTTTGCACTGTAATCCATCGTATGAGTTTTGGATAATGTTGACAATCTTTTCAGAAACTCCATAGTGTCGAAGAAGTTTCCATAATGTTCTCCTGTCCACGCTGTCAAACGCCTTCTCATAGTCAATGAAGTTGACGTATAGTGATGAGTTCCACTCAACTGATTGTTCAACGATGATCCGTAGTGTCGCAATCTGGTCTGTGCACGACCGATCCTTACGGAATCCAGCCTGATGATCTCGAAGTTAGGCATCTACTGCGTCTTTCATCCGATTCAGCAGCACTCTGTTGAAAACTTTTCCTGGTACTGATAACAAACTGATACCTCTGTAGTTCTCACATAGGCTCAGATCTCCTTTCTTTGGTATCTTGATGAGATATCCTTCTTTCCAGTCCGTTGGCACTTGTTCCTCTTCCCAAATCTTTTTGAATAGAAGGTGAAGCATATTTGCAGTTATTTCAATGTCTGACTTCAGTGCTTCTGCTGGTATATTGTCAGGTCCTGCCGCCTTCCCACTTTTGATTTTTCTGATAGCCATCTTGACTTCTTCGATCGTTGGTGGAGTGACATCTATAGGAAGGTCAGTGTGGGCTGCTTCGATGTTCGGTTGGTTCAATGGGGCTGGTCTATTCAGCAGTTCCTCGAAGTATTCTGCCCATCTTTTCCTCTGTTCTTGAATCTCAGTGATTGTCTTTCCTTCTTTGTCCTTGACTGGTCTCTCTGGTTTGCTATATCTCCCTGCCAATTTCTTCGTTGTATCATATAGTTGTTTCATATTCCCTTCTCTTGCAGCTTTTTCCGCCGCCGTTGCTAGTTCTCCCATATATTTCTGCTTGTCGGCTTTAATGCTTTTCTTCACTTCTCTGTTTGCTTCTGCGTAGTCTGCTTGTGCTTTGACTTTCTCTGCTCGTGTTCGGCTGTTGTTATTTGCTAGTTTCTTGTTCTCCCTTTCTCGAATTTTGTCCAGGGTTCCCATAGAGATCCATTCCTTGTAATGATGCTTCTTAGGACCAAGAACCTGCTGACACGTTGAAGTTAGTGCTTCTTTTATCCCTTTCCAGTTGTCCTCCAAAGTAGTTTCTTGTTCTTTCAGTAGATTCTGTAGAGCCTGGAACCTGTTGTTGAGAGTTATCTTGAATTGGTTGAGCTTGTCAGTATCTCGAAGGAAGGCTGTATTGAACCTTTGTAGTGCTGTTTGTCCAGTTGTCCAGTCTTTCTTTAGTTTCAGTCTCATCTTGGCCACAACCAGGTGGTGATCTGAAGCTATGTCAGCTTCTCTCCGTGTCCTCACATCTTCCATTGATCTTCGGAATTTTTTGTTGATACAGATGTGATCTGTCTGGTTCTATGTGGTGTGGTTCGGTGAGATCCATGTAGCTTTGTGTATGCGTTTGTGTGGGAATATTGTGCCGCCTATAACCAATTTGTTGAAAGCACATAGATTTGCAAGTCTCTCCCCATTTTCATTTCTCTCTCCTAATCCATGTCGTCCAATTACATCTTCATATCCTGTGTTGTCCACCCCAACTTTAGCATTTAGATCTCCCATCAGGATTGTGAGGTCCTTTCGTGAGCACTTTGCTACAATTGATTGCAGCCTTTCATAGAACTGATCTTTATCATCGTCGTTGCTATCATTGGTGGGTTCATAACATTGGATAACGTTCATTTTGATCCCTTGCTTCTTTGTTCTGAATGATGCTTTGATTATCCTGGGTCCATGAGATTCCCATCCCACAAGTGCATTTCGTGCTTCTTTGGACAGTATTAGAGCAACTCCCTGAGTGTGTGGAGCATTTTCCCCTTCGTGACCGGAGTACAGCAGCATCTCTCCTGTACCTAGCCTTTGTTGTCCAGTTTGTGTCCAATGGGTTTCGCTGATTCCGAGTACTGCCAAGTTGTATCTTCTCATTTCCATTGCTATTTGGCTGGTTTTTCCTGTCTCCCATATCGTCCGGACGTTCCATGTACCTATAAAGAGTGTTGCTCTGGTTGTTAGAAGGGGCATCGGTCTCGTGACTTCCGAAGAATTTCAGCTTTCATCATGAGACGTCATAATTATTCCTTCAACTCCCAGGGCAGAGTTTAAATGGTTTGAATTATTTTTTCTGGTTAGCGTTTTTTTAGCGAGTTAGCTTTTCTACGGGATGGGGTCGCTAACCCCATGCCCAACTCTCCTCCTTTACCCGGGCTTGGGACCGGCAGTAACTCTAGAAGAGCTACAGGCGGAGTTATATTATGTATTAGTCTACATATAATTTGAATACAACTACAACTCATCATATTAAATTATTATATTTACAGGGTACAATCCCTCATTCGTTTTTTAAATACTACTTTTATACTTGTATAATGAATAATTTGTTTAGAAATATACATTCCTTCTTTCTCTTCTCTTAGATTACATAATGCATGACAACAATCAATAATCATATAACCCCCATGTATTATATAATTAACATTAATGTTTTTATCGACATATAATTACACTACTTAGCTTAAACAATTCTCATACTCTATAGAAAGAAATATAATTATGTATACGTACATAAAATAATTGACCTGGAGTAACAGAATAGTGGAAATTCTAATGAACCAATCAAGTATTTACTCTAACTATTACATGTATATCAAGGAATTGTACTTCCGGGGAAGAATTTTTTGTTTATTTAAATATAAAATTACTGGTAGTATTTACATGACATTCAGGGAAAGTTACACCCATTTGGATTAAATCTGTATATAAATTAATTCTTTATTCATAGATTCTGTTTATTAATTATGAATTATTATGAAGGATTGTACAATATTCATTGTATTAGAGAATACAGTATCTAATTTGATGGCAAGCAGTCGATTAATCAAACGTTATGATTTGAACAGATTAAAAGTTGAAGTTAGTTGAAATCTTTTTTTCAACATGGCTACTATTTTATTAAAATTATTACTATAGTTAGCATTGTTTTTTTATGCATTATATTTACATGAATTGATTACTGAGTAGTGACCGATGTCAAATTTGTCTAGATCCTAGTACTGACCGATTTCTATCGATCAATTAGTGATCTTAAAGGAAATAATATTACCTGTAAAATCTAAATTCATATCATACAGTGCAAGTCACAGGTATTAACATTGATTCATTCATATATTAACTTTTTATAATCATAAACTGTTATCTGTTGAAGAAATTCTGAAATCACAATTGATTGATCACTGGGTGGTGATCAATGTCATATATGTCAAGTCCTTCTTAGTGCTGATCGAATGCTATCGATCAAGTTGCAATGTGGCCACTAGTCTAGGTGACTCGACACTGCGTGCACTATGTTGAGATAAGATGGTGGTTGGATGTGGTCAACAGGAAACCCTGGACCCGGGTTTCGTGCTACTTGACACTCGTCAGCAAGGTGTACCTGTAATCTTGAGGGAACTGGTGCTTCCCGACGGACTCGATCCCATGTCACCCAGCTTCACAGTCAGAGACTTTACCACTGAGCTACTCGGGCCGCGACCGACCTCCTGTAGGACTGAGATGTAATCACAATTGATTGATCACTGGGTGGTGATCAATGTCATGCGTGTCAAGTCCTTCTGAAAGTTAAAGTGTAGTGAATAATTACCATGTTCAAATAATAGACTTCATTGTAAATACCTTTGAAACCATGTGCAACTATATCCAGGACTTTCATGTTCCGAGAATGAATACAATACACAATCACTTTTGAAACACAATATTAAGTTTCTTTTCGTTAACGGTGTATACCGATGATATGTAGATATATTTTAAACTGAAGAGAGAGCATAACAATATCCAACCCTGTGGTCAACAGATCGTGTGTATCTAACACTACATGAGATTATATACTAAGTGTGCAAAACAAATTGAAATTTAATCAAGATATTTACTTAAAGTTCACATATTTTTAAAGTCATACTATTGATTACAAAAGAATAATCTTGTAGTGTTTATTTTTGTCTGTAATGTTCATCCTACACATTTAATGGTCACATATTTTGAAGTTATTTTTGATGTAGATCTTATGTTTAAATATGGATATCTATAAAACAAAACTACAGCAAAATCTTACGATTCGTTTTCATCGATTGGTTCATTCTCATTTTAGTTGTCAGTGTTCCAGTTCATAATATGCTCTACTAATACCAGTAAGCCTAAATTTAGAATTGTGTACCACTAGATCCCATATTAGATATCAAATAAAAGTAACATGTCAGTCATGTAACGTTAAGATAATTGTAATTCATGGATCTTCAATACGAAATAGTCTCAAAATTACTTACTTACTTACGCCTGTTTCTCCCGATGGAGCATAGACCGCCGACCAGCATTCTCCAACCCACTCTATCCTACTCCTTCCTTTCTAGTTCTCTTCAATTTTTGTTCATTCTTCTCATGTCTGTCTCTATTTCTCGGCGTAATGTGTTCTTTGGTCTTCCTCTTCTCTTTTGGCCTTCAGGATTCCATATGAGGGTTTGTCTTGTGACGCAGTTGGGTGATTTCCTCAAAGTGTGCCCAATCCACTTCCAGCGTTTCTTCCTAGAATGAAATAGAACTCTACCAACCATTACATTTTCAATAATTTTTTATCAAAATCAATCTCAATGAAAATTAATTTTCCAATTCAAGGTCAATGGACACAAGTTCAAATTTACTTTTGTTCCTTTCTCATAGTAACGAAAATGTATAAATTTGATCAGTTTGAAATGCATAATCCAAAAAAGTGATCATATGATCTTATAATGATATCATTACAATTACTGACAGTTTGAGTATGTGGGTGTATCATTCTATGCCAAAAAAATAACTACAAATGATCGTAAAATATTCAAACACGCATATACAGTCTCTAGTTTCGCTTAATATAAGGAAAAAATTAAATGTTAATAATGTGACCAGAAGAGATTTCATCATGGCTGAAATTGGAATTTGTAAATTACCCTGGTTACTACCAGTATTACCCGCTTTTAGGTGTGTGATGTCTAAAAAGATTAGAATAACGGTACAGAAAACTTAGCGGAACATGAATATGACCTTCATGATTGGCTATAACCTAACTTACTGTTCAGTAATATCTCTCCTAATATTCGTGACTAAACTTCCAAACTATGAAGACAAAAAAGCCTAGTTTGAGATGGCGAAAAATATTACTTAGGTGGTGTATCGGCCTCATGACTTTCGAAGGAACTCGGCTTTCATCATGAGACGTCATAATTATTCCTTCTACTCCCAGGGCAGAGGTTAAATGGTTTGAATAATTTTTTCTGGTTAGCGTTTTCTAGCGAGTTGGTTTTCTACGGAATGGGGTCGCTAACCCTATACACAACCCTCCTCCTTTACCAGGGCTTGGGACTGGTAGTAGCCCCCGGAGGAGCTACAGGTGGAGTTAGACGAAGAATATATTTATGGTAAAATATCACTCTTTACATTAAATCGTTTTTTATATGATTATTAATTAAGTTTAAATGAATATATAACCTAAAATAAATTTTACGCTAAACAAATATTAAGACAGTGTATACTTATCAGGTTGCAATACATACCGAAATAATGACTGAATTCGCCACTATGCAATTTGTGGGAATTTCTGGAAAAAACTGTCAGAATGTTCAACAAATGTAAACATATACTTTTGGTATATAACACATTGGAGAAAACCGCTTTTTCATATGCATCATGTACTTCAGTGAACTTAATGAAGACTAAAAGGATTATAAAAGGTCAGGAGGAATGTCAACCTCTTACGTTTATGAAAGCACCAAACCTATATGATCTCTTGTCCTCTTCTACCATCATTCCACTTTTCGAGCAGTTTTTGAATTTATAAGTAGTATGTGTTCACCGGATTCTAGTAAAAGCTGAAACACTAAAGTAATTAAAGTTTCTGGTTTTTGAGGACTTCAAGAGATATACTGAAGAGTGAAAAATGAGATAAGTGCCTTACCTCAAATGGTGATTATTTTGAAAGGGGATGATATATATATATATATATATATATATATATATATGGTACATTTTGTGAAATAAAGTTTATATGAACTTATTCTGTCTATTCATTCAACTAGCTAGTACGTTTTAGTTTTGCAACAATATTAGCAAAATAACTATCAGTAAATGAATCGGGTGGGAAAGGAATTGACTATCTCAAGGTCACTAACCCGATTACCAGTTTTACAGTCTATATGTATACATATATCAACTAAACCAGTATTCATCATATTTTATCAATACCCAGTGGTTTCCAGAAATCAGGGCAATCACTAGCTTACAGTCTAATTTCTAATTTAGAAACAAAATAGAAAACAAAGGACATAGTTTACCTTAAAAGTGCACTCAGAATAAGTTGTTTTTGTAAGTGAAAACTTTTCTATATTGTGTATTATAGCAGATGTTTGATGATCAGTGTTTTAAATGACCTTGAATATTTATTGAAATACAATAACGTTTCGAATGAAGTGATATGCTTTACTAGATGATAGTTTTTATCTTAAACTGATTTAATCTGATAGAATTATTGTAAACCATGGCTAATTGATAGGAATTGCTAAGAAGTCGGGAAGTGAGACAGAACAGCTATCTGGTTCATCTTAGCTTTTGCATGGTTTTCATGTGAATCGGTTTGTGATAAAAATCTGTCATATATTAAGATCGGGATCAAATAAAATGTATACGGTAAGCAAAGATGGATAGTGGCTAACAGTGGAATCCAGGACGCGCGTTTCGTCCTCAGTGCCCGAGTGGATAACGCGATGACGTTTGATGCGAAAGGTACTGGGTTCGAGTCTCACAGTGAACATCAACTCTGAGATGCAAGTACATCCAGCTGACGAGTCCCAAATAGGAAGAAACGTGCGTCCTGGATTCCACTACTAGCCACTATCCATCTCTGCTTACCATGTTTGTGAATTAAAGCTATATCGAGGCAGTGCTCACAGTATGTACATATGCCAATTAGAGACTGACCAGTTGCAGTCCTAACACATCGATGGGAAGATTAAAACAAACAATACTAAAATGAATTTAAAATGTATACGTTTTAACTAGAATGCTTTAGTCTGACTCCATGGATTTCAAATAGACTTAATGGGTGTACCTTAAAGAAAATGAATAAGTATCTATCAGATATATGTAGGCGACCTATGCTCCTCCACGAGAGGTGACAGGCGTAAGTAAGTAAGTAAGTAAGCATCAGATATATGTATACATATGACCTCTAACTTAACGAAAATCATACCCTTAATTAATTAGTCTCTCCTGAATAATTCGATTCGTAAATCTTCCAAATTTTTAGTTACCTTATTTTCTCAAATTCTTGTAATACCTCCTTGGTGACTGATTATACTAAAAGCTACAATATCTACACAAAATAAGCTTAAAAATCATATGAAAAGTCAGTTGCAAAGTAATATTCTTTTAACTTGTGTTTTGCATTGCTATTATTGTTATTATTATTATTATTATTATTATTATTATTATTATTATTATTATTATTGGTAGTAGTAGTAGTAGTAGTAGTAGTAGTAGTAGTAGTATTCAATATTATAAAACCATAATACTTGTAACACTAGATCTCAGGACATTCAAGTTGAACAGTGACCAAGTCAACTTGTAAACCATAGATATTAATTATTTTTAAGCATTGTGACCTCTTAGCCGCTTCCTATAACCCCAGATTAATTCGATACGTTAGCTCAAACGATGGAGAGAAAGGAGCGAAATATGAGTTAATATTATAAAACGAGGTTAGTTTATGTACAAAAATCGAGTGTATTTATAGAGTCTTATCAGACATTGGTCCTTAGAACTTTTTAGAAACATTCCAAATATAGTAACGGCATGGGTAACCATCTAATAAAAAAGTGACAAATAATCTTTCATTATCCCAGATATTCATTAGAAGCTTCTATTGTATGTTGGTTGAATAGAAAATATCTTGGAGTTTCCTTGGCTTCTAGAGATTTTGATGGGGAATATTTTGGGACTCCTCAAAAAGTCTGGTTTACTTTCTGATATAAAATGTACTACTATCGTATGTGATTGACCTTAGAATTCAGTAATTCTCATAAAAAGCTATAGTATTAATGTTCTAATCGTTACCTACAAACTTAAATACACTCATGATCTTCATATGTTATCGTATAAAGACTTGTTAATTTTGACAATATAGTCTAATTTAATATCACCTTTCAAGAGGTGTTATGAGATTAGTTGAATAACTGCTCTTCATATCAAAGGTCACCAAATATTACTAACTGTTGAACTATCATATAATGACATTTAAAAATTGATCAATTTAAAACGTTTTGTTTTCTGAGCTGTACAGTTTAAAACTCAAATTTTAATAGTCTTTCAGTCGAATAAACATGGTTAACATTTACCGCGAAAAGAATTGAACTAGTAGAAATCTTCCATAAATGAAGAATAACTTATTCAATCTAAATAGGATCTAATGATTCATAAGCTTGCAGTTGTTAGAGTTTTTTGGTGAGTTGGTTTTCTACGGGATGGGGTCGCTAACCCCATGTCCAACCCTCCTCATTTACCCGGGCTTGGGACTGGTATTAGCCCCCGGAAGAGCTACAGGCGGAGTTAATCTTACAGTTATTGATCATAAATTTATTTTGACTGACTTCTTTTCTGGATTGGCTTCTTCTTTGGATTACCCTGTTAATCATAACTCAATTACATCATGAGGTACATCAGTAATAACTAACTTTACGTAAACAAAATTAATGAGATTTGGATATTCAATAAGTCAAATTCCAAAAGCTGAATAATTAAAATTCTACCTCTCTCTACCCAAGGTACCTACTTGGGTGGTTATTAGGATTTATTTTAAGGTGAATTCAGGTAACAATGATTAAAATACCTACTTTTTATTACGATGAGAATATACCTTGATGATAATGATTAACTAACATGAAACCTACGTCCAATGTTTTCTACTGATTACCTTCGACTGACTATGTAATGTCAAAATCTGGTGAATGTGATGTTGAATTGTTTAGACTAGTAACTAGATCTCAACTCGATCATTACTGAAAACGATCTAACCAATTTGAAATCGATTATTACTCACTGCTCATTCATTAAAGAAGAATGCTGTACATGGCTGAGTTATAAATAACTTGTTTAGGAGTTGTATTGTATTTTTACTCAATCACATAGGCTTTGAATTATCATTATTCATCTTTATAAGTTTACAACGAAAAATTATAATAAGAGTCATCATATAATTTTAATAGTCGAAAGCGTGAGTCAATTCAAGCTAGACCACCAGAGGAAACCTGGAAGCACTGGACGTGAGACCCTTCAGCAGTGCGCATTCACGACCTCGCCTCGCGAGATTCAAACCAAGGGCCTACCAGTCTCGCGTCAGAGCACTTAACCGATACACCACTGAGCCGGCATCCCATGGTGTTTATGTGTAACTCCAACCAATCCACCAAGTTCACCAACCGTTCACCAATTATCTTCAGTCAGTTGATATCTCACAACAGACGTGCTTTCAACTCCACTGGTCACTGCCTCTCACTAGAACTCATGGATTTACCTCTCGAAATTGAAAATAATAAACCTCCACAAAAACCCCCCTTCTGATAGTGTAATTTTAACTTTTCTTCTTATATTTGTTAAGAATCTTTAGATTATATTTACAATTACGCAATGTAGTATGTCCAGCAAATTAGTTAGATTAGAAGTTAAGTAGGTATTTGCTGTCCATTTTTACAAACTTTTCAACATACATCAAGTCTATGTTATGTAGTTTATTTCGCTTACAGAAAATCTATCAACAATGTAATTCCACTTGTTAACACAATCGATAGTCCATGCTTATCTTCAATATTTAAAAAATTTCCCTTGAAATAGATCAATAAATGGTAAAACAGTTGTCACAAGTACTCTTATTTTCATCATAGCCAGTTCGTGTGATGAAGAAACAGGTAAAGTACCAGACATGCAACAATTCATAAATACCGATAAGTCTATAACTAGAAAATATTCCACTCAAAATTTAGTAACCACTTTACAATAAGCTGACAATTAAGATTATCCTCGATGTCCTCATGCTCAATTAGTGTGCTGTATTCATCACTTTTGATTATTTCCAGTTCTCTCAGTGGATGAGTTTCACAATATTTGACTGTAATTTTATTAATTTCATTTCATACTATGACTTTTACAATATTTGTATTTTTCATTGATCATTTCGAACTGGACAAAATTTGATGTGTACATAACACATAGCTGAGGTTAATTCCAGTTCAAAGATATCATAAAATGATTAAATGAGAAATACTTGGTAAAATTATACCAGTTGATCATCATTAGTGAGTAACTATCCCCGTTTCATTATTTTTTCTCCACCTTTTAACAATTAGGATGACAACTTCCTGAGATGCACACAGACAAACGTCCTAGAGGTATTTTAGAGATTATAGGATTTTGATAGTATAAAGCACAAATTCATCTTCATTAAACCGCCACTAAGTCCTATATGTTATGTAGTAGCGAAGACATAAGTACGGGTAACTTGCAGGACCTACTATTGGACTATCATTGTTATTGTATAACTATTCGGTAACTAGATTATCTATATCTATATTCATCTTACTGTAAGCTTCATTTTGACCTATTGATTATTACTATATGATTTACTGTTCCTAAAGTATACTCGGTTTATTGATTATTGTCTCCCACGCTTACAGCCTCATTTGGCTTGATTTTGTACAAATATTATTTTCTATTTTATAGTATGATGTGGCCTGTCTGTCTGATATATAAACAAAGTATGCTTGAAATAGACGATTCATATTACCGAGGCTGCTATTGGTGTTTTGAACTCAAGTGGACGGGTTAGGCGGATAAGGACCAATAAGGACACTAGATTACTCATACTAATCGAACGTCATTGTCACAGTGTGAAGGTCGTAGAAGGCGTATTCTAATGGTGGATAATTTACGCGAATTACGTCCTTGTTAAATTCGTAAGGTCATAACGAATCAGCGACGACCTTGATCAAGTCATAACAATTGGCTACAGCCTAGGTCAAATACATAACACTATACAGCTGCCTCGTCCTAGTATTAAATCCTTTGGCAATGTGGATCTACTACCCCACTACAATGAATCGAACCCCAAACCTTCGGTCTTGCGTAAAAGTGTCTTACTTCTAGATCACTGAGCCTGCATCCAATGGTGTACACTTTTGACCTCATTCATTTTGCGGTTGTGGACGTCCATCTCACATTCTCTGGAGTAGATAACTCTCTGATACTCGATACATTTGGGCTCCATTAGTCACAGCTTCTCGCTAGAACTCCATGAATTACATCTTTAAGCAAATCACTAATGAGCACATGACTGTTGTCATTATAGGGTTTTGTGGAGATTGTGGTGACTAACCGCAAGATGCAATACAATTCCGTATCAAATTACTCTCAGTTAGAGACTAGAATGATTCCATATATCTCTTATATCGTTGATGAGTACGTAGAACATGTAACTTAATTCCAGGGTTTTCTGCTAATCACTATCGGTCACGTAACATCGGACACCAAGACAATTCCTCACAAAGCTATCAAAAATGGCGGGGAAATGCCGAAAATATCTCGTCCAATTAAAGTTCTCTGGAAACTTGTAAGGAAACAATTAGATTTTTATTATCTATGCTAGACAACTGCCGATATTTTTACCAATTTTAGCACATTTTTTAGGAGAGTCTCAAATCAAAAGGTCACATATAATCCTATAAATATCTTTCTTTTTTGTATACTCAAATTAAGTACTGCTTCTTCTGTATTTCCAAACTTTTGTTTTCATTTTACTATTCAAGAGTAAGAGATTTCTTCGAACTAGTAAGCGGTTGGGAAGTCACTGAATTGGTGTTCACATACAAGAACTATTAAATAGTGCATGCGGCATTTCATCATCAAGATTAGTGGCTAGAATATAACATCATGAATAGAATTCTATTAGTCTTAAGTAATCGACCAAATGACACTGGTTAGTACTCAGAGATCAATCAGTATATATATATATATATATCTTCTGTTACTGTTTGATTCATATACTTTCAAACATTGTTCATTAAATTTCAGATTGAATTAACTCCTATGAAACCTACTTTATCAGAACTCACTCATTATTATCGTTTGAATCGTTTAATTCAAGTGATTAATGAAAATTATCATTTTTATGAACATTTAATTAATCAATTAAAGTGGTTCCATACTATCATCGATGATGAAAGGGATAAAATGAAATTTATCCTTGAAAGTATTTTAAATTATAGAAATCCTAATAGTAATGGAATACCAATTATATACTACATTTTTAAGGTAATAAAAGTTACATTTATTGATTTGGGCTTTTTTAATTTTAACTATTATTCAGATAATGTTAATTGATATCAATTTTGTGGAGATTTCAGTATTTTCATAGTTGAAATAATGAGTCAATTGATTATAGACCACCATGGAAAACCTAGAAACACTGGACGGCCGTTTCGTCCTATTGTGGGACTCCTCGGCAGTGCTCATCCATGATCTCACCTCGCGGAAGATAACTTTTATTATAAAACTAACATCAACTGAAAAATCAACAAGAATCTGGAATTTCTGACTGGCTATTCAGTAAAATAATAGATATTGCATACAGGATAAACATTCATGATCATATGCATAATCAAACAAGTGATATTCATTTTATATGCCAAGTATTATGCATATAAATACAAAGAGTATAATGGAACTTTATTAGGAGATTTGTGAAGATTGTATTATAAAGCTTGGTCTTCCTCGTCTACACGAATGGGACGTTAATTTGCCTTAGACGAATATTCACACCAGATACTTTCCCAGCGTCTATTCTACAGGACTTCAACACAACACTGATCAAGAACACGTGACTAGCCTGACTATAACGTAAGTGTATTTCCACACCAAAAATCGACAATAATCACAATAATAATAAGGTTAAGAGAATACATAACTTATCTAGTACCTGTTAAACTATCCAAAAGTTTGGCTAAATGAACAGCCAATCATTATCATTCTCTCTCACATATCACATTGATAACGGCATGTGAGTTCCATAGTAGAATGAGACTGTTGTTCGGTGTTGCCTTCTTTTCAAAATATTTTTTCAGCTGATATCAATCTGTGAGGAAATATAAATTCTACTTCAACTAATTTTCATAAATTATACTTATCAAGCTGTTATATCCCCTGGTGAATTATGAATGGTAACTCCAAGGACTATTTATCGACCAATGTATTATGCGTATTGTACAATTGTTACGTAACTAAACGATTCATATTTGTGTTTCTCTTATCATGAGCTTTATTTTGATCTTTGATTTATTATCATACGATTGTTGAGTTATACTCAGTTATTGATTACTTTGGTTTGTATAAAAACCCATTATGTTTGTAAATAATGATTCATACCACTGAGGCTGTTATTGGTGTTTTGGACTTAATTGGCTGGGCTAGGCAGACCGCAGGATCGGTCAGCACTCTAGTCTGCTCGTACGGGTTTCGTGTCACTGTTCCAACCGATAATTCGCTCTCCCTAATTGGCGGTTCTATCGAGTCACATATCAACTACCCATCCACTTGGCCACAAGATATAACAAATTGGCGACGGGGATTTCGGTAAAAAAAATGTCAATTTCTCAAGAACAGTTGCAGTTAATAATAAAGCAGCATCAGCAGATATTAAGCTTCCAGCAGAAACTAATTGAAACATTTTTGGACAAATTTTTCACTAAACGAGACGTTTCAGAAAATAAAGAAATTATTTATAATGCAGATAATGGTGCGGAAATGGCCGTCTCAGAAGAACGCTATGTTGAGGGTTCAATTCCCTTTATATCTCACGGAAAATGCAAAATTGGTAAGTTGGCCGGTTCAGAGCAAGACAATATCTTGCCTAATGCGCATGAAAGTGTAACAGTATCAGATGAGCAAGAAAAAGAAGGTTCCGCAGACAACCCCAGGAGTCCAGAATCAAATGAAACACCATTAAATCCGCCCATCTCTGAAGACAAACTCAAGTCAGAACAGAACTACAGTTTGCGTGATGTTGGCCAAGAAAACTGGAAGAACGCATGTCCAGAAAATAACTGGAACAGTACAGTTAACCAAATTGTACCAAATTTGATTCGAAATCATGGGGAGACAGAAGTTTATAATATGGGTTCGCGTAATGATGCCCATAATTCTGATGAAATTTCGTATAAAGTTGAGAAAAATAAGTCGGTCGAATCAGATGGTGATCAAAAATCTAATGCAATTTTATTAGATGCCGATTCTCCTAGTTATCTAATATCCTCTAGTGAAAATTTTAATGAATTTGATGGAGATATTTCAGAAAAGCCGAATTCCAATAACCTAAAATCAAATATTGTCCATCATCATCTATTCATTTCTAGTAGATTCTGCGTTCAATACGAGAAATATGTCCTAAATAAAGTCATACTAATTGTATTTTGGAGATATGAGGATCCAACATTATTTCGTGGGGGAGGAAATGTTGGAGAATTTCAACTTACAGATAATTTTTTTTTAAATCAGAAGCTAATCTTCGAATCTTCAAAAAAGGGGAGGTGTTATATCCCCTGGTGAATTATGAATGGTAACTCCAAGGTCTATTTATCGACCAATGTATTATGCGTATTGTACAATTGTTACGTAACTAAACGATTCATATTTGTGTTTCTCTTATCATGAGCTTTATTTTGATCTTTGATTTATTATCATACGATTGTTGAGTTATACTCAGTTATTGATTACTTTGGTTTGTATAAAAACCCATTATGTTTGTAAATAATGATTCATACCACTGAGGCTGTTATTGGTGTTTTGGACTTAATTGGCTGGGCTAGGCAGACCGCAGGATCGGTCAGCACTCTAGTCTGCTCGTACGGGTTTCGTGTCACTGTTCCAACCGATAATTCTCTCTCCCTAATTGGCGGTTCTATCGAGCCACACATCAACAACCCATCCACTCGGCCACAAGATATAACACAAGCAGAAATTGTACGATCACTAGTGCGTAGTTTCGAAATTTTCAAATTTTCATCAAAAGATCGTGACTGAGGGACGTCAGTCATGATTGATGCAAAACAGTTACCCAATAATGTCGTTAAGTGACTGAACTCCCTATAGATAATTTGTTGAAGTTATACAAGTAGACGATTGTACATCAATTCAATAGTCTAAAGGTAACAGGCACACTGTGCAGCTTGAATGTCCTGGAACAGTGACTGTGAATTTCTGAAAAGTCCTTCGCATTATAATGATCGCTAGTCTGTATTCCCCTAATCAATATCCCAAAAGGAGACGCACCAATCGAAATCTTAATTTATGCTTTTCTATTCCTAGTTCCTTAGTCCATCTATCGATTGATTACTTAACTTGGCCACTAACATGCCAAGTCTAGTATGAGTAACCTTGAGGACTGGTGAGATAATCTTGACTCTTTTTGGATCCCCAATATAAGCGTCTTCTTCCGATCCCAGTATTTAGTCCAGATATTGGAATACAGAAGGTTAGCTTGTAATATTATAATTCGAACACACACGCGTTTATTTACAGGCGTCTAGGTCCGCATCACACCACAAAATAAAAGTTGTTTATACGTAAAAAGCTAAAGGGTGGCAATGAACAGAGCAAGCCGTGAAAAATTGACTATGATTCTAGAATAATAGAAAGTGTAGCAACAATCATTATGTTCAACAAAAGCTTACGATAACAAAAATAGAGAACCATAATAGTTTAGTTATACAATGGAAATATGGATAATAAAAATCATTAAGATATTCCCAAAAGTTCCAATGTCTTCATTACTAGACCTATTTTGACAGTTCCTCTTTTTGAAGGAATGTAGGGATGATGTTTTGTGTTTCCCGTTATCCATAAATTGCTTTTTTAAAAAGGAAGATGAGATTAGATATTAATTTAAAATAAAAAACTTTCAGAATACCTGTAATTTTTTCTCCCCCACGAAAGCAGTGGGATCATCTTGGAGTCAAATGAATTCACACTTGATCATCTCAGAGTCCATTTCTTTTTTCTTTAAACTGTCTCCAGTTACAAGTTTATTGAACTGATAAACACTAGAAAATATTTTGTTATACCGTTTGAGGTGCTTTTCAAAAATTGTATGGACTTCCTTTGGCAGACCCAGATGATATATGTAACTCCGAATATTTTATGAGTCTAAACACCTTAAGCTTCCTAAAGGATTTACACACGGATGCGTGAACTGTAGTATAATAGGAGATCTCTTCTGGTTCATTAGGATTTCATTCTATTCTGAACCTGATACTTAATTAACTACATATTCGACTTCGTGATACTGCAGTACTACTACAATTTCATGTGAATTTAAGGTGGAGATTGTTTTTAAGTCATCAGGAACATCAGATTCGACAGCAGTAACTGGCTTTATAAAATTACTATTGAGATTTTAGTAAGACCACTGCAACATAGGAAATAAAACTAAAAAGAAGGGATAAATTAGAACAACAGTTGTCCAAGAACTGAATAAAGGCGATTATCTGATGTTCTCAAGCGCAGAAATATATTTGTAAGCTATCGTAATCATATTTACTTCCACGTTACGGACGATTATATACAACAACTCATCAAGAAATCTCCATATTTTGCCTAGTATTCTGAAAAGGAAAGGTTTTAGAAATATTTGGAAGATAATGTCCAATTGAATCGCCAAATAGTTGAACCAATAATTATTCCATTTTAGGATACCTTATTTAATTAGTATTCAGCTAGGAAAATGATTTTTTTTAATTATTTTTGAAGTCGATTTATTATTCTTACCTAATATTGTCAGTGATCACACCATAAAATAGGGCTGACTACCTGTGTTGGCATTCATTGATGAAAATAATATGACGTAAGTAATTGCTCTTCAACGATAAAAAGAAAAGACGATCGTATATTCTAAATGAATATTTATTGTATGACTGTTCTATGATACACTGTCTTCTATATACGTCAAAATGTGTACTCTCTTTTGAGTTATTCATCACTTCATTTGTTTTGCGTATTAAACAAATGGGAACAGGTAAGGAAACCTTACCATGTTACACATCTACAGGTAGGGATCAACCAATCGTACCAAAAACATTATCGACGCAACGTTTTCAATATGTTGCATAATCTTTCTCATCCAGGTGTTCATGCATCCATCAAGCTTATAGCCGAACGTATGAATAAGGACATGATATCATTTTACTGAATGGAAATAGTAGTCAACCAACTATAAATTCATTATTCCGTTTTGATTTTTTTTTAAAATCCCTAGTTGTGAACCTATTGACATCTATATATTGTTGTATAATGTGATCGAACATTTTAGTCATATATTGATCACGCGAATTATGTATGATAATGATAAAAGGATTTATGACCACCGATTTAACCATTTATTGTTCTGATTCATTTTTTTATTGGTTGTTTAAATCTACCCATTGATGTTTAAAATTGTAATTGATCAGTTATTTTTTTGTCATATGTGCATCCTATGCGAACTGCTTCGATATTTCCATTAGGTTGTAAGTATTATAAGTAAAGGTGTATATAATGGCTTTCGGTGGAATATTGGACGCGACTTTTGTTCTGTATGGGATGGTTTAAGTAAACTGAGAATTATTATGGTCGATTGACTGTGTGAAAACATAAAATTGCAGAACTGATAGATTTATTATCAGAAAGGGTTTTGTGGAGATTTCAGTATTTTCATAGTTGAAATCATGAGTCAATTAAAGCTAGACCACCATGGGAAACCTGGAAGCACTGGACGGCCGTCTCGTCCCAGCGTGGAACTCCTCAGCAGTGCGCATCCACGATCTCGCTTGGCGAGCGAGATTCGAACCCAGGACCTACTAGTCTCGCACCAGAGCACTTAACCGATAGATGAAAAAGAGAAAATAAAATTTAGAGTAGATGGATAATGCCAGGTAGGGCAATCCAAAAATCTTATTCTGTCCTATTTGGGACCTCTTAGGTTAATATATATGCATCACAGTGTTATCCACTGAGTTACTGAATTGTGATATGTATTGATATGTATCGACTTATGTTTATATTATCAATATTAAGGGTTTGAATCATAGTGTTGTTAATATTCATAATTGAATTTTGATACATATACTCTATGTGTAATGGGCTTTTCGTCCTATTTGCAACTCATCAGCTGAGTCTACATGTATTTCAATATTAGGTTTTACACTGGAACTCTCAGCTTTTATCATCAGATAAGATTATATTTATCATGAGAATCATTCATTTTGAAGTCAAAAAGTATATTTCACTTCAAAAATTCGAAATCAAACATAAGAATGATATGAGCTTCTCACTAATAATATATTATCAAGTTTGGTTAATATATAAGAACTTTCGTCTAAATATGATCGAACAGTCTCACAATATTTGGGCACCGAGTTGATGTGAGACATTAAAGAGGAAGAATATATTTTCATAGTTGAAAGCGTTAGTCACCAGGGGAAACCTGAAAGCACTGAACAGCCGTTTCTTCCTATGGTTAGACTCCTCAGCAATGCGCATCCACGAACCCGCCTCACGAGATTCGAACCCAGGACATACCAGTCTCGCGTCAGAGCACTCAACCGAGACACCACTGAGCCGACATCCCATGATGTTTATGTCTAACTCCAACCAATCCACGAAGTTGAGCAACCGTTCACCAATTGTCTTTAGTGAGTTGATATCTCACAACAGACGTGATTTGAACTCCACTGGTCACTGTTTCTCACTAGAACTCCTGGATTTACCTCTAGAAGTCAGTCACTAAGGTGCATATGATTATATGAATATATTTGTAAAACCTCAGCGAGTGAATATTTTTTTCATTATTTATTCTAATTTAACAATAGATATCCTACATAATGGTTGAAATATGTGAATCAAGAAAATCCCACATATCAAATACTATAGCCAATAGAATAGTTGTTGAATATGATAACAATAATAAGAATAACTTGATGCATTCAAATATCGATTTGGAAATATTTATCTCAGAATTACATGTTTTAATGGATTATTTCATAGAGTATTTATGTTATTTCATAATGAATTTACGTAAGAAGATTTCAGAAAATGAAAATTTCATTCGTTCTTTTACTTCAACTTCTTTGACAATGTTAACGAAATCATCCAATGCATCATCATCATCATCATCAAGATTGACATGTTCAGTGATGACATTAAGTTCTATATCAAAATTAATTGATGATCTAATAGACATTGAATCTCATATGCCTATGAAATACAATGAACAATATACTGAAGCAAAAAAACGTTTATCAACAATGATTAATTTTACAAGTTTATAAAAATAAGGAATGAATGACTTCACAATTATTTCCTAAAAAGTTGTATTTGTTCTTTTTAATATTCGCATACATATATTCTAACTATTAAATCAATGTTAAAGTTGGTGAAAGAAAAATCTTGTGTAAAACCAAAGTTTAACATTTTTTCACTGTGGGGGTGTTATATCTCGATCTTGGATTTTTAGTATGTTGCGTAATACTTGAGCACTTAAACGCTAGAACTACCCTAAGTCGCAAGAGAGAAGACATAAGATTAGTAAATAGGAATGTTATTCCCAAAACAGTGCCAAATATAGTACAAAAATCTCATGTATTTATAGTTTTTGGCTGAAAAGTAAATCCTCATTTCGGATAGTCAATAGGCACATAGGAGGTCCTTTTCATTCAACCAATAGGAGACATTCTAGAATGTTCCTCTAGCGGTGACTGGATGGAATGTCTTCGGCTCTTTTTGCGCTTCTTGAAACTACATTGAGTTTGCCAACGAGACATCCTAACAGGGGGCTGACTCAAAAGTAATAAAGAAGATTTATAACTCAGAAGGATAACTTTAGAGACCGTAATGCAACTCCTATATATATATACTACCATGTTATTAAAGTATTGACAGGTTCTTAAACTGACTTGCGAACTTTTTTGTTTAAAATAACTTTACTTAGCAACATTTGAGACATTGAATCACTTGAAATTCAACTTAGTAATGTTTGTTTGAATTTTCCCATCGATTTGTTAGGACTGCAACTGGTCAGTCTCTAATTGGCATATGTACATACTGTGCGTATTGCCTCAATATAACCTTAATTCACAAACATGGTAAGCAGAGATGGATAGTGGCTAGTAGTGGAATCCAGGACGCACGTTTCTTCCTATTTGGGACTCGTCAGCTGGATGTACTTGCATCTCAGAGTTGATGTTCACTCTGAGACTCGAACCCAGTACCCTCGCTTCAAAACGCCATCGCGTTATCCACTCGGCCATCTCTGCTTACCATGCTTGTGAATTAAGGCTATATCAAGGCAGTACGCACAGTATGCACATATGCCAATTAGAGACTGACCAGTTGCAGTCCTAACACATCGATGGCAAGATTCAAACAAACAATACTGGATGAATTTAAACTTCACCTCATCGCACAAGCAAGTGACTATCAGGACTCAGTGGCCGAGTGGATAACGCGATGGCTTCGGAAGCGAGGGTACTGGGTTCCAGTCCCAGAGTGAACATCAACTCTGAGATGCAAGTACATCCAGCTGAAGAGTCCCAAATAGGACGAAAAGCGCGTCCTGGATTCCACTACTAGCCACTATCCATCACTGCTTACCATGATTGGATCACTTTGTTTATATTTCGGCTGTGTGAATTGATTGATTTTGTTCTACATTGCTGAAATTTAAACACATTTCCTGTTTTTAATTTTAGAATGTTTGCTGTTAATAGTCATTGATTGGTCATATTTATAACAAATTGGACTATCCCCATCCTTTTTTTTTATTCCTTGAGCGATAGAAATATTTCTCCTATTGTGATAACTGGGTTCTACCAAATATCTGTACTCATAAAAAAAATTCTTATTAAGTAACTCTTTTATACCTTCTTGTTCGTTTTGTCACGTTATTATAGGATGTTATTAGCCATTATTGTACTTTTGGTCAATATAAACTAGAAATGGAGTCACTGAGACAACCAGGAGCATTGAAGTTCCTCGAATTCTGGCTTAAATAGAGGTATCGTGTCAAGTATTTTATACATTATATCAAAAATTCCTACAGAATATAATCTGGGAGACAGGACTACTTGACCAATTGATTCTTCACTCCTATCCATTATAAACTATAATGAATATGTAAACTGTAAATTGAAAGAAATTATAAGAAAAGGAGTTTATACGGATTAGACAAATCGTACCAATGTTACTCAATGACACTTCAATCCACATACGAATAAGGGAAAATGAGAAGACTGAATTTTAGTAGAGTTTTAGTACTCCTAGCAGAAGTCAATTTAGGATACAATAGTTCTGTGTACACGGTATTAACGATGACCTTGGGAATATATAACAAAATAACAAGCTATAAGAAAAGACAATCAGTCAGATCATTTATAGCAATGGTCAGCGTACTAATATAAATTAAAAGTTGCCGAGCTCCTGTTATAATTTATCAACAAAAGTAAAAAGAAACTAGATGATCTGAGAGCTTTCTAGCAGAGACTGAGGAAAAAGTTAGTCATCATCACTTGATATTTAATAGGCTATTGGATTATATAAAATTATTTTGAAACAATAAATCTAGCTTTGAACAATAAGCACTGTTATTCATACTTTTAATACAGTGTTATCCGTAATAGTAGTTTTGATGTTAATGAAAGTAGTATGCTCATTTCTAGTACAAAACCAGTTGGACACTTAAAATCTGGAATTTTTCTCAGATATTTTAAGTGTTAAATGTATCCGAAATATCTCAACAGTTGTCCTCTCTCTCAATACGACTTATGGAACTTTTTGAATTTACAAAGATTTAACGTAGGTTGAATTCATGAGTCGATTTATGCTAGACTACAATTGAAAACTTGGAAGCACTGAACGGGTGTTTCGTCTTAGTAAGGGGTTCCTCAACAGCGAGCATAAAACTATTAAAATCACTACAATCTCCACAAACTCCCATTCTGATTTAACTTAAGATTTTTATGTAGTTTTGTGATTTTATCCAACTTTAATATAATTTATGTCATAAAACAATGTTAAAATTATGTGATACATTTGCGCAATACGTTGGATGCCGGCACAAAAGTTTATCGTTTAGGTGCTCTGGCGCGAGACTGGTAGATCCTGGGTTCGAATCTCGCAAGGCGGGATCGTCAATGCGCACTGCTGAGGAGTTTCACAATGGGAAGAAACGGCGGTCCAGTACTTCCAGGTTTTTCACGATGGTCTAGCTTCAACTAACTCATGATCTCAACTATATAACATTTAGAACAATGTGATCATACATATACTTATTAAAACATTATATATTTTTTCATATGTCTGAACTAGTACTTGCGTGATCGGATCGCTCGAAATGTATTTTCCAAACCGTTAATGTTAATCATCTACCATTTATGGTTATCTGATTTACCTTTATCTTGTTATCCACGATTCTATTTGGAGTTTGAGTATATAAGATTAAAGGGTTTCAAATTGGACTGAAGTAGCTATTCAGTTCTCGTTGAGATTCATGAGTTTTCTTACACATCAAATATTATGGTTTTATGGCACAAGTATCTATTGATTGTCAAAGAACAAACTGGGTAGGGAATTGAAAGCAGACATCAAAAGGATGAGCAGCAACTGGAAAGGATTGCCCAGGATAGGGTTGGATGGAGTGTGCAGGTGAGAGTTCTATGCTCCTTCAGAAGGAGCAACAGGAGTAAGTCAGTAAAATTTCATATGTTGATTCAGATTAAAGTTATCTGAATAGCCAGTAAGCTAAACAATCAGTTTAGCTGCTCATGTTATCACTTTAAAAAAATAGGTCAAAGGTCATTAGGTCTGATTAATCTAACTAATGATTTGAAGCATAATTTTTTCAATCGAAGCTATGGTTTATAATGATGAGTTATAGAAACATAAGTGTGTATATGAAAAGTGATTTAAAAAGCTTATCAGTATATCACTTTGTGTAAATTAATTGATTTTAATTGTATAGATAGCTTTGCAGTGATATTTTTTACTGCGATATTGAGTAAACTTCAATAATCAATGCATCAGACTGACGAATTCCTGTTGATCTGTTCAAGTTGTTTGACAAAGGACACAAAATGCCATATCATGTCTAGTCATTTTGATTCATTGATGAATTGTTTGATTGTTATGGTTTGGTCAGTACTTGGATCCGAAGGTTAGATTTGAAAGTTGATGTTTCACAATTTGTTTATATGCACAAAGTGTTATTCAAGCTCTATTGCGTGTCATTCACATCCCTATCATTCAATTTCATATGTGTACATGTCCTTTATGCGTAATTCAGTTCTGGTTTCTTATCTAATATTCACGATTTCCTCAAAAATAACTTTTATCCAACTGTCACTTTGACTTAAATAATTATACAAGTCTCCGTTTCCTAAATGTGTTCATAACCAGATTAGGATACTTAGATAGACATGTATGTATATGTCATATAATAATGTATGAATATGCCAAGGTAACATGCACTGTAAAAATGTTTTTCACTGATATCACGTAGTCGTCTTTAGCTACTATTATTCCTATCAGTGTTGACACCGTCTTTTTGGAATATCGAGATTGATACGACCTACTTTCCAACTTAATCCTGTCGTCCCTCCTGAGGTTCAGGCCAACGACCAGGATTCCCCAATGAACTCTATTCAATGCAAGTTCTGAAAGTCTCCTGTTCGATCCATGTGATTAAGCTAGCACGTTGAAAATAGTTGTAAATTATATTATTGTCATTATTAACTAATGGCTGTATTCAATATTATACTTTAGTACAATATGGAATTCCTAGCATCAGGTATTTCAACCAGTTTCTTTAAAAAAAAAACAAAAAAAAGAAAGGAAAAAGTTGAAAGAAGATCTGAATCTGCACAACTTTTCAATTAGAGACTTGTTTAGGAATACAGGTTAGTGACTAGGTTAACTCTAACAACCTGTTTGTCACTGAGTATATTTGGTAGGTAAGGTATTATAGAACGTTTATACCTTTGGTTACGTGAATGGATTCTAAAGTATTCATGTCTCGTTCTATCAGAAGATATAGAAGGAGAACAATATGAATGAATTGGATGGTTAGTATCTGATAAGATAACACCTGCCAGGAGTTTGCATTGTTTAAGATGTCTATCCTCAACCATATTATTAATGATCTCAAAAGATTCACCACACACCTTACTAACTGCCTTCAGAACTCTCCACAATACAGCAAAGTCTTTTCTAAAAGACCGGAGAATGAATAATGGAGAACAGTAAAGAATAATAGGTAATATACAAGAATTTACAAATT